AAACATAATTAACTATAAATATGTATTAAGATACTTGCACAAAATATATAATCTGAAACTATAGCTAAAATTTAAAAATTCAAGCACAAAATATCATCTTTAAGTACAAAAGTAGATATTATCTTGAGTGAGCTAGTTGTTAAGAACTAAAAACTTAAGAAAATGAGTTGGTCTAGTGGTGTTGAGCATATGTTGACTATGTTAAATTTAAATATAATTAACTATAAATATGTATAAAGATAAATTAATAAGTATAAATATACATGTGTACATCTAAATAAATAAAAAAAATTAGTATATATATATTAAAAAATGTATATATACTAAAGGTAGCGGGCCGGGCTTATCGGCCCGAACGGGCCTACACCCTAACTCAAGCCCGCCCATATGTTATTGCGGGCCGGGCCGGGCCCGGTGGGTAAACATATATGCCCAAACCCGCCTATTTGTGCGGACGGGCTGGCCCGGTTTTGTACATGTCTAATCTTTTGCATACCCAAGGTAGCCGTATGCCCGTATCACCGTGAAGCTTTTTGAAAATAATATCAACCAAAATTACACAATTATGAAACATATAGGAAATTGAAAAAAAAAATATACACACTAAAAATTAAAATTCAACAAACAGTAAAAAGAGTACATTAAAAAATATAATAAGTTCTTAAAAAATAATGTAAATAATTGATCGATTAAAGAGTTAAAGTAGACAATAAAAACAAAAAATATATATATATTTTAAAAAACCAAATTGAATAAAATACAATGTCAATTATAAACGAAATACATTAATAAAACAAAAAATTTAAAATTCATAAAAACATATAAATATGGTATAAAAATGAAAAATTCAAATGAAACAATATGTAAAACACAAAATAGAAAACATGTAAAATGTACAAAAATGGGAAAATATTATAGGAGAATATTACAAATTTAAAATAAAAAATAATTGGAAAAACTAAATTGAGTTTAAATTTTGAAAATTAGAAATTTTCTCAATAGTAAAAACGTGATGAAAAAATTAGGATATACTTAATTCAAAAAAATGTTAAAATGTGAAATAGATAAGTTGTCACAAAATAAAAATATAATTTTTGAAAGTAATTTTATTTAAATTAGTATAGTAACATTTTTTAATTTTTTAAAAGTTACATTATTTTAAAATGTAAATATGTACTAGTACTATTTAAAAATTTAACGATCCAAGGTAAGATTTTTGTTTAAAAATCTTATTATTAAACAAGTTTTAATATGTACTATTATTTAAAAATTTCTTAAAATATTTTTTAATACTATTATTGTTGTTTTTATGTTGCCTTTGTTGCATTATTTTTTATATGGTTACTTTTTGTTGATGAATTTTCACATTTTGTTTCTTATTGTTAATTGTTTTTATTTCATATTGTTTATTTTTGTTCCTTATGATTTTATTAGATGAAATTTTGTCACTATACACGCACACACATGTATAGAGCGTTTTTGTACCAAAATAGAAAAATATAACTGGAAACATAAATACAAAATCAATAATAATAATAATAATAATAAGAATAATAATCAAACATTGATAAATTCAACAAAAAACAACAAGATGCAACAAAAAGCAACAAAATAAAACAAAGAGAAACAAAAAGGAAAAAACATACAATATATTCATTTAAATTAATTTGTTTCTTCATATTCAATTATTAGAATTAGAAATATCACTGCCCAATAGATATAAAGAGTGTCCAACCAGTGAACCAGGCTCATTTTCTAATATGGAGTATAAATGTACAAGTGGACTTGAGAAAGCGGTTACTCTCTACTTTCTAAAAGTGAAAACCAATCTGTAATGCAAAAATTAAGTTGAAATATACAACCGGTTGCTCTCTACTCTTCATAATAAAACCTTTGTTATTGCAATTACAATAGGAATAAGAAACTAACCAAGACTACTGAAGAAGTAGACTAGTAAACATGATTTTCAGGAATGACAAAACACTGAGGCCCTTCATACTGCTTCTATTCACCAATCCCATGAGAAAATTCGGTTTGTTTACAACAATATGCTCTTCTTTATGCAATGTTGGTGGCCGAAGAGCATACTCAAAGGGGCAGATCAAATAGACGCTTTTCATATATAAAAGGTGATGGATCTTGAGTCCTGCTTCACTAAGAAGGTACTTTACAGATCACTCAAGTTATGTGTATCCAAATACTCTCAAGGATAAAAACTTTAACATCAATGAATGAATGAAATACACCTCTAATTTGTCAAAAAAAAAAAAATCATCATCATTACCCCGGTGCCACAAAGGCTCTCAAGGGCTCCCACCTACGGTGGAATGGGGGTGGGGGGTGGGGGGTCAGATGTATGTGTTCTTACCCCTGTAAGTAAAGCACAGAGAGACTGTTTCGGATGACCCAAGGTGAAGTCACGTCAAAAATTGCATGACTAACTGTTGCTTCATAACAAAGAAGTGCAAACAATTTATTAAGTCATTTTGCTTTATTCCATCATATTCCCAAGCCAAAAAATAGTGAATCTTTGGCTCCATTGCAAATGATGGGAAAAAATACCTCTAATATTCTGGAAGCAGAATGTTTAAGTTTAAGCCCACTTAGAACATAGTAGTCGACACAGACGAGAACCTGCACGCCTACAAAATAGTGAAACTTCCTTCGTGTGATGGTAGGAATGTAGGATACATATACACACTAATGTAAGTGGAATCAATAATTGAAATCACGTGATTCAATTACTAATAAGATTAAGACCTTTTCAAGGCTAGTCACGGTATAAACAAAAAATCAATATTTAAGAATTGATATTTTCCAGAGTAGTCTTATTTAGAGATTAAACATATCCTTAAAGATGATCTTTAAAGGGAAAGAGATTTCTAAAACAAATAAGAGAAACCATACCCACCGACGTTTCTATGAAATATAAATGAAGAAAAATTGATACCATATATAAAGTTATGGAAAAAACTTCCAACACAAACTCCCGGCTCAAAGCCTTCTGGCAAGAGCATACTTCTCTTGAGAGAAATGAAAAGGAAGCACCGATGTAATGAAATTAGTTATTACAAGTTAACAGGAGGAATAATGAGACTACTGTCATTATGCAATCATTATGCAACGACTTTTGTTAAAGCACAATAAGGTACATATATACACTATAATCAATTAGTACTCGACTTCTAAGAACAACATTTGCATTTAAAGAGTAAGGTGCTGTTCTGTTCGTCTTATTCTTATTACTTATTACTTATTCTTATTTTATTCAGATCAGATCAGATCAGATCAGAAAAATTCAGATCAGATCAGATCAGATCAGAAAAATTCAGATCAGATCAGATCAGATCAGAAAGATTCAGATCAGATCAGAAAGATTCAGATCAGATCAGATCAGATCAGATCAGAAACATTCAGATCAGATCAGAAAAGTTCAAACATGATTTATCACTATTATTATTATATTAATTATTATTATTAATATTGTTATTACGATTATGATTATTATTATATAATTATTATTAATAATAATAATATGATAAAAAATAAGATATTAATAATAGTTATAATATTTTAATATCATAATAGTAATATAAATGAAATTATTAAGAGGACTAGTATTATTATTATTACAATATAATAATAATAATAATAATAATATGATTAATATTATTATAATGTTATATTATAATTATATGTAATTATAATTATAATTACAATTAAAATTCTTATAATTATAATTATAATCAATTGTAATTATTATAATTATATCTATAATTTATTATAATTATAATTGTAATTAGTTATAATTATAATAATTATAATTATAATTACAATCATAATTATAATTATGATTATAATTATAATATAATATTATAATAATATAATACTAATTATAATAATAATAATCATATTATTATTATATTATTGTAATAATAATAATAATATAATAATGTCGTTATAATAATATTAATTGCATTTATATTACTATTATTATATTATGATATTATAATTAATGTTAATATAATTATAATTATTATTAATTATAATTATAATAATTATAATTATATTATAATTATAATTATTATTTTTATTATAATTATTAATATTATTATTATTACTATTGTAATTATTTTACGGAGTAATTGTAATAATATTGATAACCATAGTTACAATTATAGACATAAATATTGTAATTATAATTACAATTATAATTATATAAGTAATTATAATTAAAAATATAATTACAATTATAATTATATCTATATTTATAATTAGTGTAATAGGTATAAATTTTTTCATTTTAAATTTAATTTTAATTATTATTATTATTATTATTATTATTATTATAGTTACGATTATGATTATAATTTTATTTAAATTATATTTGTAATTGCAATTATAATAATTATAATAATAATAATAATCATAGAAATATTCAAATCAGATCAGATCAGAAAGATTCAGATCAGATCAGAAACATTCAGATCAGATCAGATCAGATCAGAAACATTCAGATCAGATCAGAAAGATTCAGATCAGATCAGAAAGATTCAGATCAGATCAGATCAGATCAGAAAAATTCAGATCAGATCAGATCAGAACTTAAAAAATTCAGATCAGAAACATTCAGATCAGGCGAAGAGAACAGCTTCTAAGTCATCAATGAAGTAGGCCCAAAAAACTAAACAAATTAACACTAGCCATGTATCAATTACTTCAGTGGCGATGCAAAACTTCAAATGCTAAAAATGTTGAATATAAGATAAGACGAAGTTACAATTCATAAACCTTATGTACTCCAAAATAGATGACAGAGGTTCCGAAGCATGGCATAACAAGTTTAAGAGTGCATTTTTTCAACTAAAGGGATGATCAAAGGGATGCAGATGTTGAATTTATCAAAGCCGGGGGTGGACCTCTTAACACCTTGAGCCAGTGATTTGATGCGGTTGGGAGATCTACATGTTCTAAGTGGGCTTTCGGAAATAAGATTCAAGAGATTTCTTAGCTTTTCTCTATGGGAGATCTAACCATTCTTTCGGAAAGGAGAAATCACGTCGATACTTAAAGTAAGAGATTATTACCGTTAGGCTGGAATATGTGTAATAATCAGGCATTATTGTTAGGGAAAAGGGTCAGATAGGCCCTCGAACTTACATAAAAAGGTCAAATAAGCCCTTATATAGTAGGCTCTGTCTGAACGTCGCCATTTGGGGCGGTTCCCGATGGAATTTTTTGATGAAATTTTTTTATCATCGTATTAATTAAGTCTAGTTTACTCATACCAAATTTCAGCTTAAACTTCAATCAGGAAAGCATTCAAATGAATTCTAGAAGATAACTGCGCAGTTAAAAGCGCAATTATCTTCAATAGTATTAAATGTCCACAAATTTCTTAGATTTAAGGGTCCTATGAATCACGAATTTCAATAACTGGGCAATAAAAATTAAGGGTCTTATGAATCACGAATTTCTTTTATTTCTTAGATTTAAAAATTAATAGTGAAACTAATAATATTAAATGTCCAATAGATAAAAATGAACAAAGTCACATGTTCGACTTTCATCCTAATCAAGGATGTTGGCATTATCATGAGCACATATACTTTAATAAGTTTAAAAGGATATTCCAAAAATAGAGGAAAGTTCATGTCAGGACCTCCAAAAACGGATCTCTGTACGGATCTCGGCGTTTGGACTCCTTCCCGGTGGAATTTTTTGATGAAATATTTTAAGCATGTTTTTCATCAAGTCTAGTTACCCATACCAAATTGCAGCTAAAAAATCTATCGGGAAGGCAGTCAAATAAGTTTTGGAAGTTAACTGCATTTTATATGTATATAAAGTGTGCAGTTAACTTCAAAAAATCATTTGACTACCTTTCCGATGGAATTTTTAGCTGAAATTTGGTATGGCTAAACTAGACTTGATGAAGAACATGCTCAAAAAATTTAATCAAAAAATTCCAGCGTGAAGGGGCCCAAACGCCGAGGTCCGTACGGAGGTCCGTTTTTTGAGGTCTTGACAGGAACACTACTCATAAAAATAAACTAATGGACTTGATCATAATAATAACAGTTTTAAGACCCTATCCCATGATCCCGCCTATACAATCTCACATTGTTCTTCACTTTTTCTATTTCAGTTGCCTACCATTTGGGGGCAGGAATCTGCGACTGGGCATGGTCTTCTCCTTCATCTCCGCAAATGCAAGAGATTGGGGACGATTCCAGCAAAGGCATGAGGACCTCTGTTATTCCTTTAGGGGGCGAAATAGGTGTTCCCATGTTCCTTTTAAAGAAACGTGGAACCAAAATACATACTCCGTATATCTAAAATTCAACAAGGTGGGAATCAATAAAGATGAGAGCTTCTCTTCGCTCAACACTGCACAAGAGAAGGTGATTTCCGACCTTGTCAATATTTCAAGGGACTATTAAAAATTGATCATAATTAATGAATATAATATCTCTTCTCGACAATTGGGGCTTGAGGGCATGAACATGATGATCTTCTAAAATATTATAAACACCAATGAAGGTAAGGACATTTAAGGAATAGAAAAAATGTTGGTGTAATCATCCAGTTTAATAGGGTAGTACCATCTGCTTTATCTTATGTACTGAACTGAACTTCAGTTTTTTTTCCGTCTAGCGCTGCCGTCCGTTTCCTCTTCTCTCATAGCTTGCTTACATACGCCTTCTGTCTTCTTTGTCTCTCAGCGGCTTTGGACCCTACGATTACCCCAAATGTTCCCATCTACGCCGGAATCACACCGACCTGCTCCGATCGTTTCCATGTTGTGGCGTTTCTATGGTACGTATGTTATCATTCCATATGGTCATATTGGCTAACAATGGCTGAAGGGTTTGATGATCAGATAACGGTATGTCCTTTCCGTCTTCTCGGCTCTTAGTGTCGCTCGATTTGCGTGTATTTGTTCTTGAATATGCCAAATTATTTATGTGTACTCTTAAATCCTGGTTTACTTATGTCTTTCACTTTGTAAATTTTTATGTTTAGGCTTTTGGCAGTTGGAGTTGTTGACTGCAAGAGGTAAAGAAAGATCATTACGTGTTTGTTAAAATGTCTAAACGAGATTTATCACACTAATTTATGGATGCTTTGATCATTGTCTATGCCACATATTCATGATTACAGAAAATGTTAGTTCTTCTTTTGTTTCTATTATTTTGAGTAGAACTTATTTGCTTTAGTGTATCCATATCTGGTATAGCTTATATATAATCTACAAAATCATGCAATGTGCCCTTTTTCTACTGCTAAATGAGCTATGAGGTTTTATGATTACTTTGTAAAGTTTTATGATTTCTTTTTAAGATTACTTTGTATTTCTTTTTAGACTAAATTTTGAAATTAAATTTTTGTTTGGAACGTGTTTGTTAAAATTCCTCAGTCAACTATCTCTTGCTAAAATTTCACACATGACTGCTATTAATTATATTATAATTTGGTTTTTGGAAACAAGTTTCGCTTTTAGAATGGAGTAGGAGATTATGTGTCCTAAAAACAAAATATTAAGTTATCTGTATGGAGATTAAACAGGTTTGGTAGCAGTTAGTTCTATTGCTGCAGTGCATAGAGGAAAGTAAATGATTTAATGGTTGAAGATATGTAGACAGATTTCTGAGTTGTTGGATCAACACTATCAAAATACATCTTTTTGCTAATAAAATGTATTTAAAATTATTGAAAATCTAAAGTTATCTTGAATTGTTCTTGTTGTGTTCAGGTTTAGATATAGAGAATGAAGTGTGATGCTGATTATTATATAGGTTATAGCGATTTTGCACTACTACTTCGAGATAAGCTTTCTAAAGACCACTTTTGAAAATACTTTCATTCTCTTGAGCCAGAAATGTTTTCTGCGTATTTCATTAGCAGTTTGTTTTATTATTACAGTCCATAGAGGAAAACAAATGATTCAATGAGATTTCAGTTACTCCCTATTTGTTAATGTGTATAGTGTATAGAGAGATCCTATTAAAATCTCTTGAGCCCTTTTATATATATTACTCCGTAGATTTTTCCTTCCATATTGTTTAGTTGTTAAAACTAATTTTAACTTATAAACACAGTTTACAACTAGAGTTGGGAACATAACAAATAGGAAAAGGCCAACATTCCAGACATAGAATAATGTCAATTTTCAAAAAATGCATATAATGATTCAACTAAAGTGACATCTTATTTTAACCTTTTTAAGGATTCAATCAAATCTTAGGGGATTAGGATTTAGGAGTATTAGTAATTAATATAATAGCTTGCTCTGTTTTTATAACTTTCTCTATATGCAGATCCTTTGTCCTCATGACATGGCTGCATGGTTTCATTTTTGGTGTGTGTTTCTAGCTACATGAGTATTTATTTCCAAAGGATTAAGCTTCCATATTAGACTTTAACATTACTATTTTCTATGGCGATGGTGAATCCACACGAGCACAACCATGGTCGTTTTAACTCCCAGGAAACCAAAATTCTTATAAAAATAGAAGTACAGGATACAGTTAAAGATCACTTAGTCGAACTATGTCTAAATGTTCTAATGGTCGGAAGAAGAAAGATAAAAGCTGAAAATAAGCCAACTTATTTCTATATAAAGGAATTGAAGTAAGGTTCTTGAAAATGTATTTAATGAAGCATTATGAATATATTCACTTTTGGAACCTGGGAATTCTTTCTGGTTTCTCCAAGTCCATTTGAATTATCTTGATATCCACCCGAGATTAGCATTTTGTATTTATGGCCATTTTGGTCGTGAATTCATCAAAAATGATTTCTCTAAGCTTTATTGATATATGCGTAAGTTGAAGTGTGTTCTTTGAATATGGTCAAAACTAACAATCCATTAGCTATTATCTAGGTAATTAGATTCTCTCTACATGTTTTGTAATTAGATGGTTAAACTTTGGTTTTCTGTTCAGGTCCTCTTTTCTTCTGTTCAGATTGGATCGTTCCGGCTAAAGGGCCGATTTTTAAATTAACGAGGTAATTTTACTGATCCATATAGTTGTTGATTTTGTTCAAGTTTGAGTTTCAACATTCTTTTACAATCTTTGATTTCAGTTAGTTTGATAATTGCCTGTATCTTTTACTATTATATACTTTGATTAAAATTATAATTATAAGTTACTAACGAAGTTAATTACTACATTTTTCTATAGAATCCCAACAATAGTGATTTTGAGATGTTTTTAATTTCTAAAAAAAATGATTGCAGTGGACTAAACTTATTCTCACATGGTTGAGATAAAAAGCCTTATTTATTACGGAGTAGCTGGTATATCAGGTGTTATTTTCATCTTATGTAGCCTCTTCTAATGTTTTCTTTAGTTCTAGATTATATGGATTATGGATGATGTTCAAGGAGTTCATTAACACCAGTAGGTTTGATTACTTCAAAGAGAGAGAAAACAACACATGTGGGTCTATTTTGGAATTGGAAGCCCAACCCCCAACTTTAACTTTGTTGAAGAAACTAGATTGGATCAAGAAGGAGCTTCTGAAACGGTTTGGGGCAATAATATAATGCTACTGTAATATGCTTCCAGGCTTGGGGCGGAAATGGAAAGGGCACCGCATCTGGTGTCTATGGTACCTTAAGAACTAAACACTAGCAAATTATTTATGAATTTCATTTGGAAGAGGTATATTCCTCCTACATTTTCTTTCGTTGTTTGGCTTTGCTTCAAATGTAGGTTGTCCACCGCGAATACATTATGGTTCTTAGATGTTGATAAGATCTACTTCTGTCACATTGATATAGAATCCTCTGAGCACCTATTTTTCTCTTGCCCCGATATGGGTTGTGTTAGGAAGAATATCTGTTATTGGATTCTAAATGTGATCTGAGTTCCAAAATTAACAAAACGATGAGAAAGTGTTTTGTGGTTTAGAAATTTCTTTTATTGGGCACTATCGCATACGCGCAACGCGCGTTAGAAAACTAGTATAAATACACGACTCAACTCATTGAAAAAAGCAATGGTAGTCTTTTTCACTTGTTCATGCCGGTTACATCTCATTATGTAGTATCGGAGTTTACAATCTTACTGACACTAACAAATAAAAATGACTCATTATAAGACCATTTTCTCTTTAATATAAAAAAAAAGACGGAGGAAGCGGTCCAGTCCAGCTGGTCGCCGACTCACTCTCTCCCTCACGAGAGGTCTCGGGTTCAAAACTCAATGGAGTGAGTTTCAGCCTAGATTACTTCAGACTCCCCCAGCCCCTTGGAGTAAAAAAAAAAAGACGACACCTCATCCCCAAGGGTCCCCAAAAAACAATTTAGACAATTATATGAAAAGATCTAAGTTATGTTTTGATCACACTCTGATGGAAATAGAGTGAGTTTCCATTCCAAGTCATTGCTTGGAGTTAAACACGAGACCTCTCACTTGTATCACTCTCTTTCTATCAAGTGAGCTACGTCTATGGTAATTTAATTTTATACAAAGATGCAAGATGATTCCAGACTATTTTTCAAAAGGTGTTTTCTTACGACAGTGAAATAAATGTAACTAACTCTATTGACTTTTATTCCAATGAGTTTATTGTTTTTTTTTTTGGATTATTGAAATGATTGTATGCTATAAATTGTACTCCGTACTATATTATATAATAAGTATAATTTTTTTGAAAAAAATACTTCCTCCGTTCCATAGGACTTTGCCGACTTTCCCTTTTTGATTGTCCCAAAAAACTTTGTCACTTTCCTATTAAAGCAATTAATTTGTGGTTCTGCATATTTCTCTCTCTTCTGTACAAATCTCAACTACACAGTTTTTACTATTCTTATTTCTCACTTACTTTGCACTTGGTAAAGTCCACCGGGACGGAGGTAGTATATGTTATGGTTTATGGAATCCAGGCAGTAGGAAATTAGAGAGAAACTGAAACAATTTTAGTGTGAGAAAATTGTGTATTACATTTGGTAGAATAATACTCCACTAAGTAGTGTAATTAATTATTGGAATCCCTTTCTAAAAGGGTAATATGTTATTTGACAAAATACAATGTCTCACTAATAGGCCAAAAATGCGAGCTAATTCAAGAGTGACAAACGTCCCTTAAAAGCCTTGGCGATAACACAAGTGACGTCAGCAATTCATCATGCTCACGTAGGGTGGTATTAGTGATGATGTCAGTATAAGCATCTCCATCCATGAGATTATTAGAGGATTAAGTTGGTGATGTGGCGGATTAATTTTGGGATCATGGTTGGGTGATGGAGATTATTCAGTGAGATTATTTGAAAAAATAATCCGGGATTGAAATATGAATCCAGATTATTTCAAGATCATTGTTAATCTAGTATTAATTGGTGAGTAATGGACCCGCAAAAAATCTGATTATTTTGATATGATGAATGGCGTGATTTAAAAGGTGTGTGTTTATTTTGAAAAAATCTACGTGTCACAAAAAAATCTGTTTATTTAAATATCATGAATGTGGATGCTCTAAGGAACTAGGTTGTGATATCAATAATGATGTTAACTCTTGAGAACTAGACTGCCATAGTGCCATGTTATCAATAACAATTGTAACTTATGCCTTGGTGTGCATCAGTGCATGTTTGGAAGTCTGGAACGATTAGGAAACGGCCAAATATATGAATTGCAACCGTGGGTTCAATACGTTATTCAGAACAGAGCCCTCAAATTTATGGGGCCCCAAATTTTTAAATTTCTTTTAGTATTATATAGTAAGGAGTAATATTATATACTAATACTAAACAGTAAAATATAGTTGGTAAGGAAGAAAATTATAGATCCATTATTTTTTTCGTTGGTCCTTTTGCTCTTGGTTCTCTTTAATAAGTATTCAATTGATTTGAATATAAGTATTTGGATTGATATTTTTTAGGGCAAAATAAACAAAATACCCTAAACTTTCCTTAAGTGTGAGTTCCCCACCCCATACTTGTCTTGGTTAAAAATACACCCCCACCTATCTCAATTTGTATTACCTGTATCCCATCTTTTACTTAACAAGTACTCCACTTCGGCCTTTGACCGGGGAAACTTCTCTCTGTGTCTCAATCGTCCCCTGTTTTGCAATCGTCGAACAAAAAGGTTTTTGTCTCAGTAGCCAATAGTTGCAAAAGCCAAGAAGTTCTCTGGAATCTGGATGAAGAGAGGTTTAAATCCAATTCGGGCGCAGGCCGTGCAGCTAGTGCCTGTTTTGATGTTTTAGTAGGGCCTGACATCGTCTTCTCTGTTCTCTGTAATCTCTGAAGCGTGGAAGGTCTCTGGAAGAAGGTTTTGAATCCTTGTCATCGCCTTTACAGATTTAGGAAGCACAATCAAGCATTATTTATTCAAATACTACGTATAAAACAATAATTGGCCAACGTGGAAAATTATGTCAACTACGATGCTTCTTTCAAGCTTTAGAAACATCAAGGGTATAAAGTATAAACATCTCAAATTTAAATAGTTGGAGGTAGTTTTTTAAACAAGACAAGTATAGGGTGGAGAGCTTACACTTGGGCAAAGTTTAGGGTATTTTTTTTATTTTTCCCTATTTTTTAATAAACTTTTTACATTAGTCTGGGGCCCCCGATTTTATATTTAGAACCGAGGACTCCAAATTCATTAGACGGCCCTGATCGGACAGCGCGAACAATAAATTCTGAATTAATCATAATTACATTTGACCCAAAGCAAGATAGGCTCGCTAAGAGAGAGTTGGTCCTAACTATGATAGTGGCTTCAACGTTAGGCCTTAGCTCATTGTGTAAATGACAACACCCTATTCTGGACCACCTATATCTAGGGAGTGTTTGCAATTGCTTCAACTTTAAAAAAGTGATTTTTTTAAAGTGATTTGGGGAAAAGTGATTAATAGTAAAAGTTGATAGTGTTTGAGGAAAAAGTAATTATGAAAAAGTAAAAGTTGGTAGTGTTTGGTAAAATAAGTACTTTTTGTGTAATAGAAAAAGTGAAAAGCAGTTTAAAGCACCCTTCCACCTACTTCCAGCTTTTAGCTTTTAAGTGATTAATTTAAGCAGAAGATGTCATTTGAAAACACTCTTTTTAACTTTTTTTAAGTCAAAAGTTGAAAAGTGCTTTTTTTAATCAACTGCAAACACTCTCCTAGACCCTTGGGATATGTAGCAATATACTCCATCAATATGCATTATTCGTGTAACGTTAGAAATTGAAGATAATTAAGGCAACACATGTATACACAACAATTTTAAATATAGAAATTGATTAAATTAGGAAGAAAGTAAAGACAAAGTTGTAAAATTAAATCAAGTACGTTTTCTTAAAATAGGACTTATTAAGTCTTATTAAAAGACTTAAAGAATAAAACACCTCTTGATAGAAGTGCAAGAGTCCTATTTTCAAAAGAAAGCAACATAATTTTGATTTGAGAAAAATATGCAGAATTTACTCTTTTTAAAATAGGAAAAATTGGTATTATTAATCCCAACTATTCGCGGTCCGCTTTTAATAATCCTTATTATAGATTATTTCCCTATAGTCCCAACTTTGATCACCATTTTCTTTAAATAGTCCGGTAGACTTAATACCGGTACAACCGGTAATCCCAATACTTAAGCACAACAATCGGCTAATCCATCCTAATACCACCACAGCTACACATGTTTTCTTCTCACCTATATCTGCCCCCCCCCCCCCCCCCCCCGCCAAGCAAAAGGGAAACCAGATGCGAAGATCAACACGAAGATCTCATTAAAGTCAAGGATTTTCTCCCACTGCTTGGTGCAAAAGGATTTTCTCCCACTTCTTATATTTAAAGATCTCATTGAAGTCAAACAAGGGTAGGTCATCCTGGGATGCGAAGAGCAACACGAAGAAGACGACAAAGTCTTCTTGTGCTCAAAATTTCTTAGGAAATTCTTGTATCAATTTTAATTAAGTTGAAAAAAGAAAACCAGATAAAGAGATGGGTTGATTGAATATTTCCATCATCTATAGTAGATTTGTCCAACGAGTGATCATGATCTTCAGTCAAAGGGAATTGAACCCGATTTTTAAAGCTGTTTAGGATTGAGATACAACTCTCTTTCTCAGTCAAAGGAGAATGTTCTTTATGTGTTTGAACATTCAAATACAACTCTCTTTCTCAGGCTTGGTCATTTAGATCGTCTGCTATAAAGGTTCTTAGAAAACAGATCTTTGAAAGCTTCAATTGGAAAGTGAAAATCTGATGCCGGCACATTTCGTAGATGTATCGGCGAAGAATCGCACAACTTTTTCACATAATTGAGGGAGGATATGTTATTACCTTTAGTATAGCATGTGAAAACCGGTGATTTCAGGTTATAACTTGGGACAACAGGTGATGGACTATTCAAAGAAAATGGGGATCAAAGTTGGGACTACAGGGAAATAATCTAGAGAAAAGTGTCAAATAGGTCCCCGTACTATTATAAAAAAGTCAATTAGGTCCCCGAACAATTAATTTGGTCAATTGAGTCCCCTAACTATTAAAAATGGGTCAATTTGGCTATTCAGCCGGTGAGTAACTTGTTGTGCCCGTTAGAAGCTGATGTGGCCGCATATGTGGCATGAAGACTATCTCCTTCCTAACCCTATGCAGCTCTATCTTTTTATTTGGGAATTCAAAATCGCGGAGTTAGGGAAGAAGCACGGTTCATACTCCAGGGTAAGACTGTCTCCTTCCTTCCATATCTAACTTGGACTTTCTCTCTCGTTTCTTGCTCAAGACTTCTTCTTTCATCTGAACTGTCTCCTTCCCTCTCGTAACCCTATCCACGAAAAATGCAGAGTTTTGAGGTTCAGAGCTAGGTGAAATAGAAACAACTAAGGCTTCG